TATATATATATATATATATATATATATACATATATATATACCAGTCGGACGCCCGGCCTACGCCGGGCCCCCCTCCTTCTTATGATAGAGCTGTGATAAACGGCAAACAGCACACTCCTTTGCTAAAGCACTGAGTGATGCTTTTTGGAACATGAAGCTCGTTAGAAGAACGATAGCGCATGCAAACGATATTCAAAATGTGCCGATGCCTATGCCTTTGATTAGAATCTGTCTGTCTCGATCTGTCGCTGTTGATATTAAAAATAATGACCCATTGAAGATTTAAGTGGTAAGCACTCATGCCTACCACTTAAATCTTCAATGGGCCATTATTTTCAATCTCAGTGAATGATACTCACAAATGTTGTCGAGTCATAATTATACCATTATCAAATGTCTTTATGAATGCAGCTCCTTTCCTCTATACATCATTAAATGAGAATCCAAGATTGTTAGCGGTCGGATAAGTTTTGCCATGAATGATATCAAAGCATAGAGGAGTCGTGATCTTTCACTGAATCGCAAACTTCGCTGGGTAGCGGTCGTAAGCAGGAAAAGGACCAAGTTTCATAATCTGTTCCTATCAGTGCACTTACCCTTCTTGTCGAATGAAACATATCAAAGAATCAAGGCTAAATCGTAAACAACAAGGGCGCTGGGATTCAATTGGTGATTGGATCTCGTTCTCTATGACCTCCTCTATCGTCAGCCTTCCCATCCTGCCTCCTTTACTCCTGCTGGTTTTGCTCTCCAAGTCCACGGGATCGGGAGCTATGGATTTTCGCTCAGACATTTATTTCGCACAAACTCCGCACCCCAATGGGCGGAGTCCGGTCCTACCGCATACCATAAGTGTTCCCATCCTGCCGTCTGTACCTGCCAAGTTTGAACGCCCTAGAGCCAAACTGACAATTTTGGCGCCAACCTCGCCCTCCCTGCCACCCACCACTATGTTCCCACCCTGCCTCGGGTACTCCTACCGAATTCGAATCTTCTAGGTTCACGGGGATAGGAGTTATGTTTTTCCGCTGAAACATTTTGTTCGCACAAACCCTGCCCCCTGTGGGCGGGGCCCGCTCCTGCCACCCACCATATGTGTTCCCATCCTGCCGCCTGTGCTACCACCAAATTTGAACTTCTTATGTCCACGGAGAGAGGAGTTATGAATTTCCGTACAAACAGACAGACAGACGGACAGACAGACGCGAGCGCTTTATATAAAGTAAGGATATGAAGCCGTAAATTTGTGTGTCTGTTTGTATGTCCGTTTGTGATCCTTCCGAAGGTCACGTAGGCACGATGAAGAGTGTGAACGTCACGTAAGCGCCGTGAGGAAAGAGTTATAAAATGCAACCGTATTGTTTATATTGGTACTCTAACAAGTCGTAAGTAGTGGGCATGTGATACACGCTTTGGCGTGCGTAGCCCAACCGGCGCTATACATACTATTTCGAGGAAAGTTGGAAGGTGGCAGCCTTTTCGTGATCTCAACGAACTTTTTGGCGATGAAACAGTAGGCCAAAGCAAGTGGGTAAAGGAAACTGTTCCTGAATCCGCCATATTTAACGACAGAAACTCCTATGGATCACCACTTCGTTTGAAAATTGGCTAGTGAATGGAGCTTACGTCGAAACGGATGACTTGGTGGCTGGTGTTAGAGCGTAGATCGTCTTCAACAATCGAGACCTCTTCGCCTGTGGAATCCGACTGCCTAGCAAATAGTACGCAATGCTTCACGTAGACGGTGGATACGTTCCGGAGTAATTGTTTGGACATGTTTTTGTTAGACATTTTCATGTTTTTCCAAATAAATTTTTTAAAAATTCGCAATAATTATGCATCAACCTAGTATATTCACTTCAGTGGGAAGTTATCCAAGTAAGTAGTAGCAGCCAATCGACTCACATCAGTAACGTTAGTCACGCAAATCACTCCATGAACAACCCATTCAAATACCTACACGAGTGTGACTGTATTCAAGACGTGCATAGCACATTATGCATGTAGGATGACCACAACAATCATTTTTACAAAGATATGCAGAAAGAATAGAATTCACAACTCAAAACGACATTACAGAATCTTCAAAAAATACTTACATGAAAGTGCGAGATGTAGATCAGTAACAAAAGAAAAAAAGGAAAAGGATAAAGGATAAAGTTTTTAGCGTTAATCAATCCCGTCTAAGGGATGCGCCCCCGCACTCGACTTCCATTCAATTCAGAATCGTAGTGGCGTAATAAGTGCGTATGCGGCCTATACAATGACTTGCGGTGGCCAGCCGAAGTATGTACAAGTCCGGGCTTTTATCCTCCCAGACGAGTCTGCTACCAATTCACCGACCCAGGAGGGATGGAAGGCTTGGTTGGCCTACGCGGGCATCGATCCGGGATGCGAACAACTGGCGTGCTTGTGAGACAGTGCACCACTTGCCACTACACCACCTCCGCCTCAAAGGAAAAAGGAAAAAAGCACAAATCAATGTGGAGATCCCTTCATGTTGAATTCACACTCGAATTTTCCTCCGTGTGGCAACTAATCGTACAATACGTAAAGATGATGACCCGGAGGAACCACAACGAAAGGACTTGTCACGCCTGATACCCCTTGGGTATGATGTATAGGACAGAATAACACAGAAAGCGCATTAGTAAAACAAAAGTATTTGGTTGCAATCAAAAAACCACTCTGTGTGACTCAATAATCTGTGTACAAAACAGTTGCAAGTGGTTCAAATGAACAGAGGATCTCTTTTTCGTAGTTTTAAAGCGTGGCACCATTTGAGAAACAAGAGACCATTAAAACTGTCGATTACCTATCATGTCCCTTGGAACGGGTAGATGAACACCACAAATGCTGCTGAATTCGATACAAGGGCACTCTGCCTTATGCATCCTTTCAAGAGCTTTATGGATCTGTAAGGAACGCTTTCGATACCTCGCAAATTATTGAAAAGCCTGTGAGATGAATGAGCCCAAAAATCTTAGCAAGCCTAAGACATAACAGAAAACCATACTTCTATTCCAAACAGTTCATATATCTCATCGAGCAACACTCTTCGTCGAACTTTTAATAATTGCGTGTATACAGATAGATATTTCCTGAACACGTTACTAATTAAACACATTTTTGTAGTGCAAAATAATTAGGCAAATACGTAAGTGTCGGAAGTTTAAGTACATAAATAGGAAAGAGTAACTAATGAAATGTGTGACAGCGGTGATTGTTGATACCTTTCTTCCAGGAAGAAATAGTTGAGAACCACATCTGGTTAAAATAAGCCTACAGATAGTGACCTGTGAAGTTTAGTGGAAATATCTGCACAGAAGCTATGTGCTCGAACCTCCCAGATGTAGTTTCAACGATCTCGTCTTGGCTTGCGAAATTGTACTACATTCGGGGCGTCTGAACTGCAGTGGCATATGACAACTTGTGCAAACCTTCTCGACTCCAAAGCACAGACCGCTGAACTGCACACATTGTCCAGATAAGAAAGGCTATTATTCAATTCGTGGTTTGCCTGCTGAAAAAATGATGTCAACCACCAAATTTGTGTACGACCCAGACAATAGCAAGCCAACCTTAATAAAGAGCTCCTCAGTCGCTTTCGCTAAGGTTATACGCTTTCTAATACATGCTCGCTTCAGTTGTTCGATGGTTTTATGGTAGCCACTGGTGATAATTTCAAGATTTCGTATCTCGTTTGTCTGGAAGCGAGTAACACACATCAGTTTGCTGGTGAGTCAAGGACAGTTACAAGTAGACAGTACATGACGATACGAAGGAAAGTCTCGTGAGCAATACCACTGACAATGAAAACAACTTTACTTTCAATCACTACTCAGAACTCTATGAAATCATTTTAGTACCGAACTCTGCAGAGTTCACTTCTACAGAGGTCAAGCCATTTGAGTTGAGCATCATACAACTACACGAAAGCTAAATCTCAGTCCTACCTTCTTACTACCTTTTCCTACTCAATCCTTCAGAAACGAAACTGATTACGGTTAGAAGAGGTGCGATTCATTTGAGAAGGGTTCATAACTCACAACAGGAACATACGGTGTAAATATAACGGATTGAACAGGATGGACCAGGTCACCGAGCGCTATTTAGAAGCCGCCTCTACTTTCTTACTACTTCTTTTCCGGCTACTTCTATCACCATGGCCCGATTGCTACAACTCTATTTCGAACTCGACTCACCAAATAATGAGCCTCAGGGAGATAGTAAAGATCGCCACTTTTCTCCACTTGATTATGATGATGCTTCAATATCTCTCTCGTTGACCGAATCGCTAGCATTACAGTTCGCAGCCTGAATTGAGCTCCATAAGAAATTGTTTAAAAGTGGGAGAAAATGGGTATTCAACTTAGCTAAGAAGACCCTAACACCCGCGAACGTACGTAATTCCGTCGTTTTCTAGATGTTGTTGATTCGTAAGTTGGTACTAGTCAAAAAATTGGAATGTTCATTCTCAAATAGGTTCCTCTGCTTTCCCCACCTGATTAAATGATTGAGCACCATTCACGATGGCATCCATCAATTTCAAATAAAAAAACAGTATTGATAAAAGCGATACCTGTTCCAGCAGGCGCATGATGCCATTTCGACTTCAGCGGAGCTCTCATTTCTGAGCTGATGCCTTTGTGAGAACATAAACAAACTGCTAAATAGGGAAAACATCTGATTAATGCGATAGGCGGCATGGAATTCGACCACGAGACGCTATACCATCTGTTTGACTCAACGGAAACATGCAGTGCTGATTTCAGTTGTTTACACAGGCCGCACCACAAATTTATCAATCCGACGCACTTGTTTTGATTTTATGAACATTCGTAATTGATCGCATTCGAACACGCCGCCGTAATTCAGTGAGTATACAATACTACCTTACGTCGCATTCAAACACAGACAAATTGTCACTATCATTTCGCGAAGGACAATTTGAGACGACTTAATTCCAGATTAACGAAGTATAACGGAAAAACACAGAGAACACAAAAGTACCCAAGCATATAGGGAATTTAGCAATTTTTAAACTTTGACCCTTTTCGCGTCAATTGTTCGATTATCTCTGATCCTACGTACCACACACTCAATCTATGCGCATCGTGCGATTCTGGGGGCGCGCGGCAAAATTCGGTGACTTGGACGACTGCAGCGTTTATCCTTGGAGTCTAAATTTGCAGTAAAGTATGTTAGTAGGATTGTCCGACCCTAATTAAGTACTTTACTTCAAAGTTGTGCCCCAATGATAGGCGCCAGGGTTGTTTGGATGATCGCGTATTTCGCCGCGCAATTTGCCGCGCGCACCCGAAATCGCACGAATCGTACGTCCCTCAGGAGACCGTCATCTCGTGCGTCCGAGGACGCACACGGCAAATTGCGCGGCGAAGTTCGTTGCGGTACAAACGACTCTGGCGCCTATTATTGGAGCACAAACTTGAAGTAGAACAGTTGGGCATGGTCAGCTGACCCTACTGATCTACTCTACTCCAATTTGACCCCCAATGATGAACGCCGCAGTCGTCCAAATCGCCACGGACTTCGCCGCACACGTCCTCGGACGCACGAGGCGGCACATACCCGGGCTCTATGCATAACGCCTAGGGTAGTGAAGGGGAGAGTCTCCCAAGGAAATGTTTGCGAAGGGCGCGAACGTTCAAACGGTGTTTTCGCCTCTGTTCTGTGTCAAGATAGTAACAATGGAGCAAACTTTCCTACTATGTACAACGCGCTAAGTGTGTGTGTGTGTAGTTTCCTACTATATATAACGCGCTAAGTGTGTGTATGTATGTATGTATGTATGTATGTATGTATATGTTTGTGTGTGCGTCTGTTGGTTTGTCGGTTTGTTTGTGTGTGTGGGTGGGTGTGTGTGTATATGTGTGTGTATGTGTGTGTGTGTGTGTTTGACCGGAAATTCATAACTCCTGCCCCTGTGGATCTAGAATGTTCAAAGTTGACACGAGTAGAGGCGGCAGGATGGGAACATTTATGGTGGGTGGCAGGACCGGACTCGTGTTTTTGTGAAAAACTTAAACTTGGACTTACAGCGTTCAAATTTGGTAGGAGTACAGGCGGCAGGATGGGAACACCTATGGTGGGTGGCAGGACCGGACTCCGCCCACAAGTAGCGGGGTATGTGTGAAAAACATAAACTTGGTCCTAGAGCGTTTAAATTTGGTAGGAGTGCAGGCGGCAGGATGGGTACACTTATGGTGAGTGGCAGGACTTTACACTGCCCAAAGGGGTTTGAGCGAGAAATCATAACTCCTTCTGTCGCGACCCCGGTCCCTATAGCTGAACTGCATCAGCGGCGGGACCCAAGGTCACGCCAGAATGTGGGTATTGTAAGGGCCCA